GGGAGCTCTGTCGGAACTCAGGAGGAGTTATGGAGGCAGGGAACTGAAAGGTAACCATTGCTTTCCTTCTATAGACCCAGTGTAACCCATATGCGTACTCCTTGCTATGTTTGACTAAGTGTACTGCGTGTATCCTTACTTTGACTTTGAGTTTTGACTTTCAGGACTTAAACGAGACTTGAATAAACAAATGTATGGGTAATGTCAGTTTCAGTTTTGTTGACTGACTAAAAGCAGATTGTGGGATTGCATCTGGGGGAAGGAGGAAGGCAGTATAGCTTATGTCTGACTGGGTCTATCAAAGGCTGGAGGCCCAGTGCTATGTTTATTTTTGAATTGCCTGGAGAACCAGACATGCTCCATAAGTTTGGGTGGTCTGGTTGCTCTGACTTGCGAGGGCTGTTTGTGATTGACTTTTAAGGAACCAGGCATTGTCCCATAAGTTTAGGTGGTTTGGGTGCCTTGTTTATTTTGGGTTTTCTCAGTTTCTTTTGGTTCTGAACGAGGGGGTCTGAGCATGTTCCATAGTTTGGGTGGCTCAACCCCTTCCTGTTTTATTTAAGGGACAGAATCAAGCAGAGGACCGGACATGTTCCATAAGTCTGGGTGGTCTTGGTCCAAAGCCATGCACATGCTGGAATCAAAAGGTTATAACTTGGCTATATTTTATTACTATCCTACTTATGAACAGGCTAGTCAGACAGGGTTCCATAAGTTTGGGTGGTCTGACTATAGTTTATCACAAATTGGAGAGACTATAAACTAAGAATAAACTTGTGGTACGAAGGAGGGGGCGGAACCTCGAGCTAAAGATGATCGGTTTAATCATATGCTACCTTAAAAGACTAAGTGCAGATAATTATATAAAACTTGAATATTTAAACAGTTCAGGGCGACTAGGGCGGCCTAGTCATATGCCCAAAGAAGAGAAAGGTTGTTGTGCCCTATGTTTGTGTACATTCAATAACTGAGCTAGACATGTTCCATAAGTTTAGGTGGTCTAGCTTTATGCCTTATGTAAGCTGGGTATAAAGGGAGAAATCATTGAAAGATTGAACTATTGTTTGACAAAGTTGACTTTGGGCAGGTGAGAGTACTTACCTTTGTGGTCCGGTCTTTCATGTCGCTGAGTGAGATTACTGTTTAGTCCGAGGTTCAGTTTGATAGGTAGTTGCTTTAGATGTTCGCCGCGTGCTAGAGCCATAGGAGTTAGTTTCAATTCCTTAATTTTCTGAGCTAAGTTTTTTTACTTAGGTCAATTTCTGTGTTTTCTGGGATCTTTTATTATACTTGGTCTTGTATAAATCTTCGTAATCCACTTTCTCTACGGGAAGCGCTGCCGAAATTTCTACAAAACCAAGAAGTTCGTCAGATTTTGTCTTTTCAAAGTTCACTTGTCTGACTTTTATATATGAATTAGTAAAAATCTGGAAAGTCTCCCTTTTTAAAGGGAGTGTTGCCCAAATTTTTACTAATTCAGGGAGTTAGACAAAATTGGACCTTGAAAAGTCAAAGTCACTTTAGATTCTGAACTTAGGATTAACACTTTTCTGAAGGGAGTGCTGCCGAAATTTCTACAAATCTAAAGAGTTAGTTAAAGTTTGTCCTACACTTGGTTGAACTCAGGTTTTGCTCTGGGTTCATATCTAACTTAATAAAAATCTAGAAAGTCTTCTTTTCTAAATCTAAAGGGAATGCTGCCCAAATTTTTACTAATTCAGGGAGTTAGACAAAATTTGACTTTCCAAAATTAGAGATCGTTTTTGTTTTCATATTGGAGTTAAAATTAAAGTTATTTTACCAGTCGATTCAGTTTTGAATCGATACAAAGTTCGAGTAATAGATCTAGGAATAAAACCAATTGTCTCATAAGCTATTGAATCAATATCAATAAGAATACCTAAATGAAAAGTTTTTTGTTTTTTTGGATTTTTGGCTTGTTGTGAATAAAAAAAAACACGTTTTTTTTCCCTCCAAGTTTCTATGTCCTCTATGACTTTTTGAATCCATGATAGTTGCACATTGATTTTTTAAAAATGTAAAATGCATTTTAAGAAGACACTTTTCCTACGGGAAGCGCTGCCGAAATTTTCTTGGTTTAAAAAAGTTAGATTATATTTTGACAGATGACAATTATGGCAACCCACCCTGAATAGGGGAGATGCTGCCATAGGTTTACCTTACGTTGGGTACTGACTTAGAGGAAGCCCTAGGTCTAGCTTGTAGGAGGATCGTGGTGAGAATGTGCTATGGAGCTTTATTCTCCTTACACTTATGAATTTAGCTTGGGTATTGGCCTGTTCTGTGATACAGGTCCTCTTGATCGTTTGATTCAGGATCTGGAATCACTGATAACAGGTCGGTTGCCGATTCGTCGGTCCACGACTCAACTCCAATTCATCCTCAATACTCAACCTAAAAGGCTTTAGCCGTGATGTTTTTTATTGTTTTATTGAGGTTTTCACCCGGACTTTTATTGAATGGCCATTTAACAAAGGTACTGAGTACTTAATTATGGAAGGTTGGACAAAGGTTGGGGCTTGCATGGCTAAGGCAAGGGGTATGAGCATAGAGAATGGTTGAAGTTGACCTCGTGTAGTGCGTGGACTTTTGGTTGAATCTTTGATGCGATTGCAAATATGTTTTGTGGTTCTGACTTTGGATTTAACTGCCTGCGATCACATACATATATATGGCTGAGAGAAGTCCCACTGTGACTGTGAGAAGTGATCGTCACATATTTATTCCCCTTTACAGTTTGTCACAGCCCCTCGTTTGTTGTCCTCTTCTCTCTCTCTGCCTATGGTTTACCGGGCGGTTCTATTTGTGATGATATATATATATATATACAGACTGTTGAGGGTTCAGCCTCATGATGAGTCGGTGAAACTCCGACGAAACAGTTTGTCACATCCCCTCGTTTGTTGTCCTCTTCTCTCTCTCTGCCTGCGGTTTACCGGACAGTTCTGTTTGTGACTATATATATATATATATATATACATACCTATGTTTGAGTGTTTCGCGTGGCCTAAGGAGCCCATCCTTAAAGGCTTAATTGGGGTCGAGGGTGAGAAAGGAAGGGAAATTCCCTCCCTTTACTATTAATTACTTCTTAAAAAAGTTTCTTAGTCGAACATTGGTCCTGGGGCTGGATTCGAGGTCCTTGTCCAGGACATCCCACGCCCTAGACTCTCCATGGAAGGAATCACTCCCCGCGCAGAGCCTATTTGCCTTGCCCACCGGGGACACTCAGCCTAAAGGTCGGAGGTGCCGCGGACGCCGCACGACTGTTCCTTCAGCCGTGCAATATCATGAAGGGGGAGATCTTCACGATACTTCGAGTTTGACACTTGAGTGTCATCAGCGGTACTCGGATCCACAAAGGACCGCTTGATTACGGGCTCTACATAGTACGCCATCATCACGACTGCTTGCATATTCAGACATTGGTAGTCGATATGGGAAGGCCCTGTGTCCTCGCTGTTTTATACTAAGTCTCGCGCCCGTCGCATATCCAATTTCCTCATTGGAAAGTTATGGGATGGATACTGAAGGCACTAGGCGTGTGTCGCATTGTATGGTCCGTGTTGTTTTGCATACGTATGTGTATGTGTGTGTTTTAATCTTTATGTTTTCAGAGTGGTGTACGCGTGGTGTGTGGGATGCGTCCTAGTCGACCGACCACGGACCACGCTTGGGACCTCAACCCCCCAAGGTGTCGGTCCACATACGAGCTCGATAGAGGCGTAATACCGCGCGTACCCTCTATGCTACAGCGTACGAGAAACGCCCTCGGCTGGTCCACATATGCGATTGCAAATGATTAACTTTCGTACTTTGGATTGCTAGCTCGGCGGGGACACACCCACCTAGTGGTGTATGCGTGGTGTGTGGGATGCGTCCTAGTCGACCGACCACGGGCCACGCTTGGAACCTCAGCCCCCCAAGGTATCGGTCCACGTACGAGTTTGAGGCGTAATACCTCGCGTACCCTCTATGCTACAACGTACGAGAAACGCCCTCGGCTGGTCCACATCTGCGATTGCAACTGATTAACTTTCGTATTGTGGACTGCTAGCTCGGCGGGGATACGCCCACCGAAGGGAAGTGACAGCTCCCGTAAGGTGGAGGTAAGTCGTGCCTCATGTAGGCCCTATCCTGTCGTAGGGGCTCGCGAGAGGTATGGTTGGCGCACTCGGCCGGAGCGGCTTGCGGAAGCTCCATGTGTATTCGTGATGAGGAATAGACCAACTCCTTCGTGACGAGGCCGGGAGGGTCCCGCCCCGTTTGTGCGGTGCTGGACCGATGCGCTCGACAACGTCTCCCTCGGACGTCTCCGAGAGACGGTCAGGGGGGAGTTGTCCGAAAAACCAAACAACGTTTTGTTTGCAAAAAAAAAAACCATTAAAAAAAGAAAAACGGGGGGGGGTCTGCGCACCACTAGGGGACCGCCCTAAAAACAATTCAGGCCGTTCTCAGCAAAAACCAAAAACAAATTCAGATACGGTGTGCGAGGTGTGATGGTGGGGTGTTGGGGGGAGGGTGGATTGATTGATTGATTGATTGATTGACGGGTGGGTAGACAAATAGATAGATGGATAGGTAGGCAATCGGTTCGATGGGATCCCGAATGATTGATTGATTAATAGAAGAACCGATTGGATCAAGATCCTATCGAACCAATTCATTCCACAAGATCCCAACTGATTGATTTATTGATAGATTGATTGTATTGATTATATTGACTGTATTGATTGATTAATTGATAGGATCTTTATCAACACTTGGTGAATTCTTCTCAACACTGTCGATAGTGGTAGTAAGAGCGACGTCGAAGGATCAAAAAGCAATGTCGCTATAAACGCCTGACTGCCACACTCCAGTTATCCCGCTAGTAGCTGTCTTCACGACACTAGTTTCAAGTCCCAAACGTTGAAGGATCGATAGACCATGTTCTCGCAGTTGTACACTCTGTAAGAGTTATCGCGATAGGGGAAGAGGGATTATAATTAGTGGGGAAGAGCGGATCTACATGGGAAAAACTGGTTGGGGGGGGATGAAGAGCGGGATCGGGAATAGCAAGGCAATGGTGGGCGGGTGGGCATGTGGGAATTCGATCGAGTAGCGGAACGGGGGCAGCAAGGGAAGCGAGCGATCGGAGGGGAGGGGAGGGGAGGGGAGATGGGAAATCTGGCAGCGGAAACAGGAACGGGGAATTTGGTGGGAAGCGGGAGTGCAGAGGTCGGGATCGGGTGGTGATCAAAGGGAGGGGGATGGAGATCAGAGTTGGAGTGGGGGGGGAATGACGGGAAAATGCGCGCGTTGGGTTGGAGGAAAATGGTGGGAAAAGGTGTGCGCTGGGTGGGGGGAGCCAAACGGAGAAGCGAAGGAAGAAGAGGAGGACGTTGACATTGACGAAGAAGGGGAGGTGAAGGATGATGACGCAGAGGAGGAGGAGGAGGAGGAGGAGGAGGAGG